GGTCACTGGAAGCAAAGGACTGCGCCTGTGTGTGTAGCTCTCCACGCTCCTCAAGAGGAAAGCTCTTAAGAAACCCCTAAGATGCTCAAACTCTGTCTGGCTTCAAGACTGGCCCATCGGGCTGTTGGGAGACAGCTGCCCGGTGTGTTCCCACCAGGCACGCTCCTGGCTTGGCTCCTGCGAGTACCACCTGTGGTTGCGGAGCCCCAGTGAAATTGGGGGCATCACGCCCTAAGGCAGCAGCCTGCAGTGGGGCAATGTGCTTTGTCATCTTGGAACCTGCCACTGAAACGGGACAGAGAGAAAGGAATTGGTCCTGAGGCTGGAGACTATCCCTTGTCCTTGGCCTGGAGCCTAGTCGTAGCGTCCAACAAGCAAAAGCCCTTCTCTGGGGGTTTCTGCCACCACCGTTCTATGGACACTGGCAGGTGACAGCTTCCAGAAAGTGGGAGCGCCCACCAGCCTTTCGCTGGCGCAAGGACACCTGCATGATGGTGGCAGGCAGGCCTGTTTCTGCGGCGCTTACTAGCGTTTCCCTGTACACTGGACCCCAGGATAGCAGTAGAGTAATAACCATCCTGCAGCTCTTCGATAGTCCTGCTGCCTTCTTTCGAGGAACTTAATAAGATCTGAGGAAATTGCATTACAGTCTCTCTCGAGGATGTTTCTTATCTCTCTGGGCTGTCTGCTGCCTATCACACGCCATCCGTTGGGTGCTGGACGGCGGACGTTGCCTACATTATCCAGTTGAAGCATCGCAACAAGCCCACGAGGGAGCCGGCACTGACACCACCCTGCAGATGACGAGACTGCCTCTCCTCTGACAGACAGTGCCCGAACTTCAGAGGGGACCATCCTGTCCACAGGGTGAAGAGTGGGAGCCCAGGCCTGGAGTCAGGCAGCCCTGAGAGAACATTGTCTCTTGGAGCAATGGCTTGACCTTGGCGGTGCCTTCAGTTCACGTGGGGAGCTAGATGCCCAGACCCACCAAGACCAGTTACATCGGAAGCACGGGGTGAGGTTAGCCTTGCGCCTCATCCCCAGGGGTTTCTCTCACAGCTCTGAGGCCAGAGCCCGAAATCAAGACGAGGCTCTAGAGAAGAATCCTTTCTTACCTCTTCCAGCTTCTGGTGGCTCCTGGGTTTGTGGCTATATGCCTTCCATCTCTGCCTCCGACAGCATGTGCCTCTTCTCCTTGTCGTCTCCATTTCTGTTTCTTAGAAGGACACTTGTTATTGGATGTAGAACCCACCCTCTTAATCTAAGATGATCTCATTTGAGATCTTTAGCTTCATTACATCTGCAAGGACCTTTTTTCCCCAAATAAGATCACATCCGTAGTTACATGTCTTTGTGAGGAAGTGGGGGGTGTACCTGCAACGCACTACAGAGAGCTTTCGCTGTATTTTCTGGTTGCACTGGGTTGAGATCCAGGAGGTCCAAGATGTGTAATCTCTCCATCACACTGAAGTCAAACTTTATGTCCTTTTAAAATAGGCCAAACCCTGAAACCAAAGTGTGGGAAGGTCCAGGGTATTTGTAGCATCAGAGGTAATGGTGGAGGTTTATAAACCTTGTTTTAATATAAGGAAACCTGGATGCCCAGCTGGTGTGGCTCAGTTGGTTGGAGCATTGTCCATATACAGAAAGGGTTGTGGGTTTGATTCCCAGTTGGGACGCACAGGAGGCAATAGATGGATGTTTCTCTCTCTCTCTCCCTTCTTCTCTGAAATCTATAAAAAAAATTTTAAAAAGAAGCATCAATAATGAGAGAGAATCATTGATCAGCTGCCTTCTACACACCCCACACTGGGGATCAAGCCCGCAACCCCGGGCATGTGCCCGGACTGGGAATGGAGACATATACTCGTGTTCATAGGTGGAGGCTCAACCCATTAAGCCATGCTGGCCCGGCGCCATTGATGTTTCTCTCCCCCTCTCTCCCCCCCCCCTCTCTCTCTCTCTCTCTCTCTTCTCTCAAAGACAAAAAAAGGGTGAAATAACAGAGTTTGAATCAGGACCCAAGATATTGTAGTAGCTATAGAAACACTGATCAGAAATTTTAAAAATACAAAATGTTTAAAGGTTGCAAAGAAAGGTCAATTGGTGTGTAAATGGACAATTTACATATTTATGTTCACAAACTGAAGTGAGAAAATGAGAGTTGAAAATGATTTCAAGAGGAATGGGTATTGGGGTGAGGGAGTGAGGATTGGAGGCAATGGGCTCTGAATGGGAAAAGGGAGAAAAGTTGGAGATCAGAATATTTCAGGTTATATATTTTTTTCTCATCTTCATTCAAAGGCATTCAATTGGATGTTCATTTCTGATCTTGAGTTTTCATTAAAGGAGCCCTCTGGTGTCCTCTCCCTTACCTCCCTCCAGCTCTTCGGACGTGAACGCCTCATTGTAGCCACGTCTGAGATTTCCTAGATGAAATCAGTGGCTGTAGATATGATTTCAGACTTGCAAAAAATCAACCCACTGTTGCCATAAAAAGCCCAACTGTGCATTGCTTCTTTGGCATCTGGCTGTAACAAAAACACCCTTTCCCTGTTTAGTATTGAAAGTAAATGTAGTGGAAAGAACAGTGGGCTAGAACTAGGGGAGGCTGGGATTCTAGTCCCCAACCTTTTACCCAGCACAAAATATTTCATTTCTCTCAGACCTTGGCGTCCTTATCCATAAAATCGGGGACATGAAACCGAATTATCACATCCACCTTAAAAAGCCTATTCTAAAAATACTGTGCACTTCTTATTTCCATCTAGCCTTTTCCTAAAACCTTATTTGGTAATATCCGAATAAAATTTTGTAATTTTGTGGTGCGATCAGGAACCACACCTGGATTTCAGCATCTACCTAATTCTCTGTGCAGGCAGAACCTTTCCTGTCTTACTCAGAACTGAAATTTGCTGTGGGGCCCCTCGATTCTTTGCTGCTTTGGAAATTCAATCCACCAGTGTTCCTGTGTGATACTGTGGAGTCTCGCTTTATTCTTAAGTCTGAAACATACATTAGCATGACCTGAACTGACACAGTGTCTCTTCTGACACATTGCATTGGTCAAAGCAAGTCAAAGGCCAGTCTAGGTTCCAGGGGAGGGCAGAAGGCCTCTATTGTTGGTGACAGGAACAGCATGCCTGCACGGTGAGGGAAGGGATTGATGGCCACCATGTTTGGAGATTGTCTACCATAGTCTCCCTGTTGATACATCTTTTGCTCTATTGTTCTCTTTTTATTTTTAATGGCTTTATGTGGCATAGGAACGCAGGCAGGCAGGAATTCGTTCCTGGCCTTGAACATCAAATATTTTACCGCAAACTGCAGGGGCTTTAGAAGGCATTGCTGTCTCTGCCCTGGACTGTAGGGTTGGATACTTTACTCAACGTCTTCAATGACTGTCTTGGGGGGTGCAATCATGGTTTACATGAATGGAGTACTTGCTATGGGCCAGACCCTATGCTTATGCCTTTTTCATGGGTCTGTCATTCCGGGCCTGTGCATATCATTTCAGTGCCAGTTTCTGGGTTGGTTCGGGTAATAAAAATATAGCATGGTACCAAAGATTCAAAAATGCTACCCACTCTCAAGATCCCCACGCCCTCCCTTCACAGAACCACTTACTCCTCTGGGATACTTGTATGTGTTCTCTTTCCTCCCCCACTTCTGAAACCCCTTTTGTCAATTTTGTACTCCATTAATTATATATTTGCCCCACTCTGGTCCCTTCTGCCCCCAGGCCCACCACTTTCCTGCAATCGAGGCAAATTAGGAGGGACCCTGGCTGGAGGTCAGGGAATAGAGGTGTCCAAGTAGAGCTGAGTCTGTTCTCTGTATGGAGGAAAGTTTTCCGCAACCACACACAGGCCACACACACAGCCGATGCCCTTCACACCCTCAGGACGAAGAAATCAGGTCAGGAGGAAGCATGTGTGATACCTGCTTCTATACTATGCCCACAGTGCACATTTAGTAAACAGGGGCTTAGGATGATGACTATTATAATATTAATTTATGCAGCGATGTCAGCAAACCCAGAGCCAGAGCACCCACTGAAAAATCCTACTGAGGTAGCTTATAACACTTTTTATTGCATTTATGTATCTCTCACAGTTTTATTGATATACTAGAGGCCTGGTGCACGAAATTTGTGCATGGGTGGGGTCCTTAGGCCTGGCCAATCAGGTTCCCTGCCTACCCCCTCTTCCTTCCCTCACCACCTGCATCTGCCACCACCCACCCCCAGTTCCCCAGCCTAGCCCGGGGTTCGGTCCCGATCAGGCGATCAAGGCCTGCCAGCTGGGGGAAGGGACCAGAAGGTTGGCCAGCAGGCCCCATCGGCGATCAGGGCTGCAGGCTGGAGGCAGCTCCTGCAT